TGCTGCGAGTTGTTTTTTAATCCTCGGGTTAAAGCGATCTTCCCCCTGCCCTGGAGCACTATTTCGATGGAGGGGACAGAAGGGAAAACCATGGGAAAAAACGTGATTGGGTTAGTTTTGAATTTCAGTTGGGCTGGTTTTGTTTTGCATGACCTGGCAACCCTGCACTGCAGTTTTAAAGGTGACATATTATGCCCCTTTTCACAATATGTAATATAAGTCTCTGGTGTCCCCAGAATGTGTCTGTGAAGTTTCAGCTCAAAATACTCCACAGATCATTTATTATATCATTTTGAAAATGCCTATTTTGAGTGGAAGCAGAAACAAGCTGTTTTTCGGGCCTATCTCTTTAAATGCAAACGAACTGCTGCTCCCCGCCCCCTTTTCCAGAATAGAGCTGCGCCATTACAGCTAGGACCTGCTAAAAAAATCTGTTTTGTTTCTGATTATCATGTTTATCTGCTGAAATCATGTGTTTTAAACCATATGAGTTTAAACCTCTGATATACGGATTTCTGATCGCACACATCCAAAGCACATGGACAGAAAGCTGCTGTCACAGCATGTGAGTACTAAACTAAGTTCTCATTCACACACAAGTTTACCTTAAAAACACATGAGTTACAGTCGGAGTCGGTTATGTCTGTGAAGGTAAACTGCTGGGAAATAAATCGCATGTTTATTTTAGATCTGTGTGGTAGCAGCAGTATACAGCAGCCTAAATAAATCAATAAATCCACTGCTCTCTTGTCTCCTCTGAGGCTGGGACTCTAAATAGTGTTCTGTGCTCGTCTGTGCAGCCAAAGACAGAACAGTTAGCATGTTTTGCTCAAACTTTCGCCATGGCATTAGAGCTGGTACACCGTTGTCGCTTGCGAAATCAAAATGACGGCGCCGTGAGTGGAAGTTTACAGATTAAGGGGCGGTAATATTATAATGAGATCCCTTTGCCACGTCACCAAGGGAGAGAAATCAGACGCGCTCGTTTTCTCAGACGCTTGCAGAAAAAGGTTTACCAAAACAAAGTTACTGGGTTAATCTTTTTCACGTTTCCTTGGTTGGTAGATGCACCAGGGACCTGATTATAGCACTTAAAACCTGGAAAAGTCAGATTCCCTTTCATGGGAACTTCGAACCGCGTCCTCTAGAGGTCGCTATGGAGAACGCATCGTCGTGACCCGTGTCTGAAGCATACATTGAAAAAACACCAACAACACGTTGGCCGGCGACAGCCATGACGTCACTACCGGTGCGACTATAGTATAAATAGGCGCCGGGAGAACACATCATCCTCTTCTTCGTAAATATCTGAGGAGGGCAAAGAAGCTGAGGCTCCTGCCCTGTGTATGATGAGCTTTTGAAAGTTATTGATCGCGCCACGGCGAGGCTTTACTTGCCGTGAAGCGGGTGAAGAAAGTGACGTCGCGAGGTCATCTCCTTCCTTTCTTCCTGTTTTCCATACAGTCATTGAGAAGGAATGGAAGAGGCCGTCTTTTCCTCACTCATCCATCGATTCCAGCATACGAGTTATGCCAACATCGAAGGCGAGATGTGATCCAGACAGGGCGTCAGCGCTTTTGTTCAGATCAGAGTGATACCTCAGTATCCACTCATTTCCTTCGGGGGTCAGGCTGCCCTGTCTGGGTTACTGTATCTAGGTCGCCCTGAGGGGCCTCCTGATCACCAGAATATCCCCTCTTGTTGAGGCATCGAGCGGGAAGTATAGGTGGCATTTGCGAGAAACTTCTTGTGTAATGCTTCATTGCTCAGGTGTGTTTGATTAGAGTTAGAGTTAAACTCTGTAGGAAAGTGGATCTCGTGGGCCAGCTTTGAGGATCCCTGCCTTAGAGGGTTGTATTTGAGCTTGCCTCTCCCGTTTGGCCCAGTACTTCCGGGTATCTGTCAGCAGATGCTTGGAAAACTCTAAATCCATACTATGGTAAGTGCACACGTTTGGCTTTGCGCACTTTCTAAAAATCCACATAAGTGGTAAGTGTGCACGTTATTCTTTGCGCACTTTCTAAAATCCACATAGGTGATGCTTCAGACACGGGTCACAACGAGGCGTTCCCCATAGCGACCCCTAGAGGCCGCAGTGTCTCGTTCCCTACTCAGGGAACCATGGTTACATAAGTAACCTGAGACGTTTTCATGATATGTCACCTTTAAGGAGAAAATTCTTAGCAATTGTGTTGTCTGTTGAATTTGCACATGGTTTGTCATAGCATATCAAAAGTACCAGACAGACATGTAAACAACATTAAAAACTTGAATTTTATCACAGGGGGTCTTTGATGGTACAATTATTTCTGCTGCATATATTGCAAAAGAGGGCAGGCAGATGAGGTAATCTTTGAGTTCAGAATAAAAGCATCAAATATATTAGAGATGACCACAGTCACGACATCAGTGAAAGTTTTCAGAAGCTATGGCAACCGTATGATTTTTTGTTTTTTTCATGTTGTGGATGCAGCAGTGCAGTAGATATTTCCTGCGGTGCTTTTGTGTAGTAAAGATCTGTTTTTTTTGTGTCCTAAAAATGTGTTTCCTCTTCTGTTTAGCAGGCATTAATAAGCTAGTGCTCAGGCACCCCATGAAATCCCAGCATTAATGCTGCTCTGCAGTGAAACAACCCCGCAAACATCAGGACGCACGTAACTCCGCTGTCGACTCTTTGAAGCAATGATAAATGTCGCCATGGGCAACCGAGACCATGTGCAGCTCTACACACTGCCTCTCTCTTAACGGCTGCAGACTTCTGAAAAATCAGCCTTTCTAAACATCTCACTAATTTTTATCTCAGACAGAGAGGTCCATTTGTTACACAGTGAGCCTTCGACAATAACCAACCTTCCATTTAGACCTTGTTTTTTTCCCCTCACTCTCTATTTAACCCTGGTGTGTTTTGTACAGCATGTCTAGTGGACGACAGCTGACTGGATTAATTTGCAGAGTTTTGTTCTAACCCTGCTCCAACTGTCACGGGTTGTGCTGCAAAGCGAGGCGAAGGAGACAGCAGGTAAAGTCCAAAACTCTCACAGTTTAATAACGGACTTCAAACTCAGGCAGATAAGCACACAACTTAGTATAACAGTGACCGAACAACAAGTGACAAAAAGGGAGCAACTTAAAGTCCCCATGAAATCAAAATTAAAGTTTTTGGGTGTTAGTATCAATATGTTAGTCTTAAGGTTATCTATAAGGCAGTGTGCTCCAAAACAGTGACAAAATTCACATTTAGAAGATATAAGCATTCAAAGCTTGCAGTTCGTCACTTCCGCCAAAACGGCTCAACAATTTGTTTGATGTCACTTTATACGTCAACCAGGGCCATCAACGGAGCTCTGTTTTTTTTTTATTTTTAATTTTTTTATTATTGTGTACATTTAAATACTGTGCAAATAAACTAAAAAAAAAACAACAACAAAAAAAAAACACAGAGCTCCATTGTCGGCCCTGGTTTATGACCTATAAAGCAAGAGAGGGGGTAATGCGAAATGAAATATACTGTACATTTATTAATATTCAATGCTTATTCCATGCATTTTGGAGTACATACATTAAATATTAAATGTACATTAACTGTTATTAATGCAGATACCACATACCTTGCAAATATGGATACATTAACATCATTACATTAAAAATTGGTGATTTGTACATGCATTTCTGCGTTATTAGATCTAAGGTAGGATTTTTCCCACATAAATGATCCTGACATTACTTGTGGCGATATGTGATGAAGGATCACATGCTTCAGGGTGTTATCACCACTTCATACTGAATGTCACTGCAGAGCTTTCAAATAGTGCTTTGTGTATCGTGCCCTGAAGCAGGAACGACATGCAGAAATGATAATGGCTCGACTGTGGCAAGAAACATCAAAGGAAGAGTCCATAGGGAAAGAACACTCACAGAGACGGCTGCTGCAGCTGCCAATGAAAGGGGGATGTTTACTCTTTTTATTACATTGACATAACTCACATGATGTCTTCTCAGGAGAGCGTTACTCTGAAGCCCAGATACAGAATGAAGCAGCATTTCTGGGAAATGTAATCACCTTCTTATTAAGCAGTCGATCTTGCTTTATTTCTAGAAAAAGCTGAAAAGTATTTAGGAGAAGACATTAATTGATTGTGATAGTCGTAATCATGCTCAGCAGGGACCTGAAAAAGAAAGACATATTGACTGCAATACACAATTTCATTAGAGCCTTAAATGAGATTCTGCTCTATTAAAAGAAACAGCTGCAATTTCATCACGTTTAGCAGACCGTTGACTTCTCAAAAGTTGAGTTTGAAGGGAAAATCCAATAGAAGAGTTTCTGAACATCGAATGGTTGTAAATTGGTTTAAAATAAAAATCCTGACTGCACCAGCAATGATGCAATCGCTTCAGTTACTTATGTAACCTCGGTTCTCTGAGAAAAGGGAACAAGCGTTGCATTAATCGTGCTATGGGGAAACTCCTGTTTACTCTGATACTGAAGCCTGATTTGATCATGTTCGTGTAGCATGATCCAATGGCACTTCAACCTGTCCAGGGATCTCATTTATAAAACTCTCCATAGATTTCATCCTAAAAGTGTACATATGCACAAAATCTAGATTTTACGCCAGAACCTGCACCAAAATCCCTTTATAAATCCCAGTCAGGGGAAGACTGTGCTTACATGCATCTCCACCCCATTTCCCCTTCGAAATCACCATACATGGAGCTTACAACGCCTAGTTTTACTATGCATAACCTCAACTGCATATCATTTCCATGCATATTCCCATCCAGATGACACCATGTTTAACACTGTCAAAGGTACAAGACATTAAGGAAATATGAGATACGGACTATAAATGCCATTTATTCCATACACAATTTTTATTGCTGAAAATCATTCAGTATCCTTGTTGTTTTAGAATAAATATATCAAAATATCCATAAAAACAAAACAAATAAAGTTTGAAATAGTTGTCAGATACATATTTTAGAATAGAGTTGATCTCATTCTTTTCCACTGGCCAAATAGTATTTAAATTGTTTTAAACAATTCAAATCAAATTAAATGTATGCATTTTTGCTGATAAGGTGAACATCTTTTAGCTATTTTTAGTGGAAACAGATAGGCCTATATTTATTGCAGTGTAAATAGAATTGTCTGACTCGGCATGCCACCGACAAATTATTTTAAAAAGGAAACGTGCAAATTACCATTTTCCTGAAGTTGTATCCTTCAAACACAGTGGTATTTTTCATAATGTTATGGAGATGCCTTCACACAACATCAACACCTCTGTGCAACTGTGATTGTACAGTAAGCTATTATGATTGGACCTATTCAAACCGGACAATGGACAGTTCGACCACTGAATCCAGCAGTGTCTGCCATAATATCGAGGTAAGTGTGCATCGTTGATCATTGTTCTCGATAAAATATTTTCTCATAACTTGAGATCTGCAGTTTAGTTTAAAGATGAATTATTGTGCACCTATTGCACTCCTCGCTGTCATTAAAACACAGCATGCCACAGGAAAAGTGAACAAGCGCATCCACTATAAATATGTCTAAATTCATATTAACTTCTGCATAACGACTTATGTAATTTCAGTGCTTATCTCCATTAATGAGAGTGGAATATTTAATGTAAATATGTATATCGAAATGAAAACATATGAGTTTAAGAGTATGAGTTTAAAATCGTTGTTTACTTCATTACTTTTCTCACTCCAGGAAAAAGAGTGTGTACTCATGGTCTAGAATGTCCATACAGTGCGTATATATTTACGAGAAGTTAATTTTTTATAAATCACGATATGTGCATGGAAAATTTCTATGCCCATTTTGTGTGTACGCAACGTTTATAAATGAGACCCCAGGTTATAAAATTTGGTGAAGGTAGATGGCGATGACCAGCCAGCGGCCGCAGGTCACCCGCTCGCAGCTCTTGTAGAAAAGTTAGCACGTAGGACACATCAGGAGGATGGGTTCTCATTCCGTGTTGCACATCAGTCAGAAAAGACTGACCATTTAAGGGCATAGAGACGTCTTGTAGACGGAGCTCTAGCGGTATTAGCTACACTTGCGGGGAGCTGCTAAGACTCCTGTGAGGGGCCAGACATTAAGGCTACACAGCTCTGCCCGGGGAAGCTGGATCATACCCCTTATTTGCGAGAGGATGTCCTTCCTTAATGGAATCAGTCAGGGGGCTGCCAATAGCAGCTGAACCAACACAGGGAACCACGTTTGATTCCTCCAGAGTGGGGCCACCAGGAGGACCGAACATCTGAATTCCCTGACCTGTTTAATGACCTGAGGATGCAGGGCAACTGGGGGGAAGGCATACAGGCCAGCGCTGGGCCAATCGTGGGTCAGGGCATCTCGCTGCTTCAAAAAATAAATTGGGCAGTGAAAGTTGTCTTCTGAGGCAAAGAGGTCCACCTCTGCCCTGCCAAAGCCAGACCAAATCATTTGAACTGTTTGGGGATGTAGTCTCCATTCTCCTGGTGCTACATTGCCCTTGGACAGCATGTCTGCTCCCTGGTTCAGTCTGCCTGGCATGTGAACTACTCTCAGTGAGAGGAGTTTGCCCTTTGCCCATAAAAGGAAGCGTTAAGCCAACTTGTAGAGGGAGCTTTACCTGAGACCGATTAGGCAATTTATAAAGGCTACCACCGTCATGTTGTCCGAACGGACCAGGGCGTGGTGTCCTCCTCGGGTATTAAGACTTGTCTGCCTTATTAGATTACCGTTGCCCCAAAGTATACAGATATCATATACAATTCACAAAATATGACTTAGTCGTTATAAAATTTGTAAAAAAAAAAAAAAAAAGATCGGTGGTAGTAAGCCACCATTGTTGTTGACATCGCAGTGAATTCTGGGTAGTGACGTCAAATGGTCAAATGGTTGCACCGATCTCTGCTTTGTTATTTTGATCCTGCTATATTACAAAAATGTCATCTGTTCAGCCTGTTGCTTATGGGGAAAAATCAATGGTACGGCATTTGGTTTGAGCCTATATGCTTATATCCATCGCCACCTGTAAGCTCTTTCATTAGCTGTGGTCTACTAAAAGCCTCAAAGGCATCAGGGCTAAAGTGGCGAGAACAAAGATGTGGGTCTTTAGGGAGTTTTGTTCGTCCACAGGCATCTTCCCATTTTTTTCTCCTATTCTTTTCGCTACGAAAGCTGTGAAGACTTGTTTTTTCGACACTCCTTTTGCCACATGCCAGGGGTCAAATTCACGGTGTTTTTCTGGGTTACTGACCCTCATTTCTTTGACAATTTGTGGGTGCCTGTCGGTGGAAATGGTAGAGACCTTCACTCCATTTGTTTCTATGGATTTAAGAGCTTCCTTCAAATCTCTGATCTCCATGGCATTAGAGCTTGAAACTTGGGTGCAGCTTATCACTTTGAAGTCTGCAACTTTTTGACTCTCCACATCTATAAATGTGTAGGTGCAGTATTTGGCACAATGACCGGGAGAGTCACACCGGCCATCTCCAAAGAGTACAACTTCTTTTTCTCTTGACTTAATACTGCTCAACACTGCATTCTGTTCTTTGGCCCATGTCTTCTCAATAACTGGGAACACGTACTTCTTCCTAAGTGTTGTGTATGTGTCTTCGCTTATTGTTTTGAGGTTCATGTTGTTGCAGAACCGTTCAAATTTAGCAAAATTAATGCCACTGAAAAACACAGACGCTGCCAATAGCAGGTTTCCATCACCCTTGATACCGCTGACAGTAGGCTGAGACTGCCATCTGTAACTACAGCCATTAGCACATGTGAGCTCCAGAGTCAGCTGTGATCCTTCATTTTCCATCTCCCTCATATCCTCCATGGCAATCAAAGAGCCACACTTTATACAATGCTGTAGTATTTTTTTTTTAACTGTTGGCTATCATTTTATGGCTGTCATTTGAAGTTTGAGATTCCTGGGTGCTTTGAGAAGGCTCAGATGAACTTACATTATATTCCGAATCAGACTGTATATCTTGTGGCTGACTTCCCTCACTAAATTCATTATCTGAAAGAGGCAGATCCTGGGACTGACCATCCTGATTTACTAGTTCACCTCCCTCAACCGCTTCAGTAGGCACTGCAGCATAAATATGGTGTTTACCAAGTCACACACATCCACTGACCACTGTACTGCTGCGTCAGACTTGTCAACATCTGTCTGCGTTGTTGCATCAATCATAACTGAAGAACACTGTACACTTACTGACTGCAGTGAATCTGACAAACCGTTTGGTTCCTCCATGAATAAGCTTGAACTTTATCCTTCAGTGGCTGCGGCATCATGTTTACATCCTACCAGTATAGCATCTAGCATTTATTGTCTCTGTCGTTTCTCAGCGCGGATTTCACTTGATATCCGGGGGTGTTTAGACTCCTTGTGGGGAAAAATCAATGGTACGGCATTTTGTTTAAGCCTATACGCTTATATCCATCGCCACCTGTAAGCTCTTTCATTAGCTGTGGTCTACTAAAAGCCTCAAAGGCATCAGGGCTAAAGTGGCGAGAACAAAGACTCGGGTCTTTAGGGAGTTTTGTTCTTCCACAGGCATCTTCCCATTTTTTTCTCCTCTTCTTTTCGCTAGGAAAGCTGTAAGACTTGCATCGCTTCTCTTGTTGTCCTTCGACTGAAAATTACACCCAAAAGCCGCACAATGTGGCATCGTATCAGTAACTGTTATTTTGTATTCCAAGTTGTGTTGTGGTAATAGCAACAGGTAGCACAGTAGCTCACCGAGTGCAACCATTTGACGTCATCGAAATAATGGCGCCCCCCATAGTCCAAAATATGTATAAAGCGATGTGGGTTTTTTAAATAACGTAAATGTTTCATGTAGTTTTCTACTACATATTTCATTAAGAGACATCATTTACATTATTTTAAGCCATACATGTCTTAATGTTCCCTTTAAGGCTGGCAGTAAGGTTTTTATGGCAAGCAAAACCGCCATTATCTCAAGGCAGTTGATGTGTAAGCATTGCTCCAGCTTTGATCAGGAGTCTAACGCCGGTCTGCCCTCATATAGAACTTCCCAACCCAAGTTGGAGACATCAGTCGTGACCACCTTCCTTTTGGAGATCAGTCCCAATGGGACACCTGATTGAAACAGGTGAGAAGTTTTCCAAGGGGCCACAGCTCTCATGCAGCAGTGTGTTACGCTGAGATGAAAATGTCCCATACGCAAAGTGTGGGACGGGACATGGGCTTTGAGTCAATACTAGAGGGGCCACATGTGAAGCAGGTCCAGAGGAATCAAAAAGGAAGTGACTGACATGAGGCTGAGCATCCTCTGGAAAGCCCTGAGGGGACGTGAAGTCCCCAGCTTGAATGACACCACTAGCTGCTGAACTATCAGGGAGCGTACTGGCATAATCCATGCCCGCAGCTGGGCAGAATCGATAACTGTCCCCAGAAAGACTACTCATTGGCTGGTAGACAAAGCTCTTGGCTAAATAGATTTTCAACCCAAGCCGCTCCAGGTGGCTGAGCAGCAGCGACCTATGAGCGATGATTTCCCATTCTGATCTAGCTAAAACCAGCCAATCGTCAATGTAATTCAAGATGTGGCTTCCCATCTGTCTCAGAGAGGAGAAAGCCGCGTCTACGCACTTTCATAAAAGTGCGTGGGGCCAGAGTCCAAATGGCAGGACTGTATATTGATAGGCCACTCCCTCAAATGCAAATCTCAAGAACGGTCTGTGATGGGGGCTATCAGGATGTGAAAGTAAGTGTCTTTCAGATCCACCGATATAAACCAGTCCCCGGAGCATACTTGCGCAAGGATCTGTTCCAAAGTCAGCAATTTGAACGGCCGCCTCATGAGCGAGCAATTCAGATGCCTGAGATCGAGAATGGGCCTGAGCCCGCCATCTTTTACGAGGAAGTAGCAAGCAGTGTTTGCACTTCATACCGGAGAACGTGAGCATCATTGTCCCATACCGAAGTTTGAATATTACCTCTGAAGTGAGGTGGCCTGCGAGCGAACTGAAGCGAGTAACCTCGTTCTATGATCTTTAGTACCCAACTTGACACATCCAGGATAGCTTTCCAAGCCTGAAGCCGGATGGCAAGTGGTGTGAGTTTTTCGAGTGGCAGTTCTGCCAACTGACATTCGTGGTAATGAGGAGAGGAGAAATGTTCTTTTGAGTATGTGGGTTCACTATCACAGCGGTAGTTTGTTTGGGCATGTGCTGAATGGGAAGAATGTGCCCAAGGGATGGGGCTTCTGAGGATGAGGCTTCTGAGGCACAAGGTCCAACATCACTCTGGGGAGGGGACCTTGACACCTAGGAAACGGGTAGCATTTCTCTGTCCTGGGGGGCTGCTGAAGCCCAGGCTCAGACTAAGGCTTGGGCTAAGGTGGCGCTGGCTTGGCAGGCTGCAGAGAGGATGGAGCCGTCTGGCGACTTGAAACAGCTGCCACACTGGAGCGCTTTGGCAGGAAGTGACACATTGCCTGCGATGACTTCTGTGCCACGGTAAACCCTCAAACCCATCCACGGCAGGGCAAAACAGTTCTTTGGGAGAGACTGACGAGTGTAGGAAGGCGACCTTGTCAGCTTCCCTGATCTCGGTTAGATTCAGCCAAAGGTGGTGCTGGCCATGGCCTTGCCGATTACCTGCGCAGTGGCCTCAGTAGCACATAGAGCCAAGTCAGTTGCTGTGTGCAGCTCTTTGAAGGCATCAGAACTCTGAACAGACTCGTCCATGATGCGGAGAAGCTTTGCCTGGAACACTTCTGATCAAATCATTGTGAATGTGATCAAATCAGGCTTCAGTATCAGAGTTTCCCCACAGAGTGATTAACACAATGGGAGAGACCGTTCTAAAGGGAACCTTTTTTTTTTTTTCCAGAGTGACTGTCAAATTCCTCTGGCTCCACTTTACACTGCCTCTTTTATCATGAAAGTGTCTTTCTTCTTATTATCATGTCATCTCCAAAGTGGAAAATGATTATTTAATTCATTTCATGGCTTTATTATTGTACCAGCAGGAGTCTGCAAACCCCATAGTGAAATAACCAAGAACGACCTTTCTGTAGAACGTAAAGCCATAGTGTTTTTTCAAGTAATGGGCAGAGGTAATGATACACTATCATATCATAATGATGTGAATATGTTCTAGCAAAATCATATTCATGCACTGAAGATATGATTGGTCAAGCTCTGACCCCATTAAGATTTAAACCAAGGATGTCTATTAAAAAACAAACAAACATTGAATTGTTTTTGAATATAACAAAAGTGTTTGATTTAAAAGGATTGACTAATGTTTTTTACACTCTCCTTTCATGGTTTACAGTGATTTACATCAGCTGATGCTTCATGGACAAGAAGAACATTCATCTGAAATGAATGATGGTATAAGCTGATCTCAAAGGATGGTAGCACTTTAGTTTAGAGACCAATTCTCACTATTAACTTGTTGCTTATTAGCACGCATATTACTAGCATATTGGCTGCTTATTAGTACATAAAAGTGCTATATCACAACCGTGCGATATGGCTGTATATCAGCACCCTGTGATTACCTGCTACCGCATCACAGCCATACCGATATACCGGCATATCGCACTGCTACTCGTGTGATATTGCTCAAATATATTTCACTTCAGTCACTTCAGTGATATCTATCAGGTAGAAGTCTTTTTGGAATTTTATGCATGGCATTTAAAGGGACAGTTTACTTAAAAATGAAAATTCTGTCATTATTTACTCACCCTCATGTTGTTCCAAACCCATATCCGTTTCTTGGTAACACTTTAGAATAGGGAACACATATTCACTATTAACTAAGAGTTTTCCCTGAACAAACTCCTAATTTGGTGCTTATTAATAGTAAGGTAGCTGTTAAGTTTAGGCATGGGGTTGGATTAAGGGATCTAAAATATGGTCTTGCAGAATAAGGCATTAATATGTGCTTTATAAGTACTAATAAACAGCCAATATGCTAGTGATATGCATGCTAATAAGCAACTAATTAATAGCGAGAACTGGTCCCTAAAATAAAATGTTACCAGTTTCTTTCTTCTGTTGAACACAAAAGGAGATATTTTTAATAATGATGGATGTCATTATAGATGTCAATGGCTACCGTCAGCTGTTTGGTTATACACAATCTTTGTTCAACAGTGAGATTTTTTATTTTTTATTTTTTGGGTGAACTGCCCTTTTAAAAAATTAAAATACAACTTAATTTCTTAAAGTACTGTAGCTTTAATATCTAAGGCAAGGGATTTAAATACAGGATATTAATGTCTAAACAAAAATATCCAATTTCATAATTTACAAAATGTCAGTGTGGTCACTCAGTCCTAAAAATAAGATTTGAAAAAAACTGTTTTGCAGTGAACTAGAGCCAAAGCCATAGTGAGATAATGCATGCCAAAATGCAGTCTCTCCCAGCCAAACGGGCATTTTCTCAATTTAAAATATGATGCATTAAAACTTTTGTTATTAATAGGAAAACATGATTATTTTTACTTTTTTAATATAATTGTCACGAATTCGGTCCATGGACTTCCGTTTATTCACCACCAGAGGTCACCCTTTCCATTACATTGACTCTCGCACAACACAAACTGTTGCATAGCACCCCGGACTACATATCCCATCATTCTTTGCACGATTTGCACACTGCACTGATTGCACTCATTGCACACAGCTGTTTCTAATCACCTCACTCACTATATAACACCCACTCTAACCACCTTTCTCTGCTGAGTATTGTTTAGCCCGTACCCCATTCCGAGTCTCTGAGTTTTCCTTGTTTTTGCCTTGCCTTGCCTGTTTTCGCGGTTTCTGATCTTTGCCTGTTTTTCTGGATTTTTCCCTCTCGTCTCGCCCCTGTGATTCTGTCTGCCGATCGGTGACCTACGCTAGCCCTGGGACTATTCTTGTGTTTTGCTCGCCATATACCTGTTTGCCATTGTTTGACCCTGCCTGTTTACCACTTCTCTTTAATAAAGCCTGCAGATGGATCCACACGTCTCACGTCTCGTCAGCCCCGTTACAATAATATGTTTTTTTAAATATATCCATTTTGTATATTGATGCATAAAAAGGTTACCTTTGGAGCCATGTAACAATGAAAAATGGACACGAGAATTAGCTTCATTCTTATATTTTAATTATACATGCAACCAAATACACGAAAATAAGATATTACACAGCATAACACAGATGCACAGAGTATTTATCACAGTGTGAGGAGCAATAATGCTGTTCACTCAAATCAAAATGACTTACCAGCTGTTTTACCCAATACAAAAAAAAATAAAAAAATAAAAAGTTTTAATACTAATATTTATGTGGTGAGTGACACTTTGGGTGTCTGGATTTTTATTTTTAATTTTTTTTATTATTCAAATTATAGTAATGTTATTTGTCTAATAATTGTCTATGTATGTGGAACCACTCGAGCAAATAGTTTTTTGTGGAATGGGATTCAAGCTGTTTTCAGTGAAACAGTGAGGGGTTTAGATAGATTGTCATTGATTCTTCGTGGAGAGCCAGCAGACCTGAGCAGTTAAAATGTACCACAGCGAAACCGAGAGGACAGATCAGACAAACTGCAGGTCATTTTGACAGCACAAGACACAGTCAAGGCACATTCTATGATTACCATCATGAGCCCGTTTAAGAAGGGATGGCATTACACTTGAGGGACTAGACAGTGATTTGAACTGAAACAATATGAACCACTTTGAACCAAAGTGAAGAGGAAAAAAATCAAGCTGACGAACAGCCAAACTGAGCATATTTACACAGTCCAAGCAATACCAGAGACTAAATACTTTTACTTTTTTCTAAATTCTGACTTCATCAGAAGTGACAAGAATCAACTAGAATACTACAGGAAACCAACTGTAAGCTCTATATAAAATATTTCATAGAATGCACATAGCATGAACAGCCTCGCATATGAAATCTAATATACAGTTTGTAGGCTGTTGGATAAGAGTTTCTAGAGGAAGACAGGGCTAGCTAGCACAAGGGTTATATCTTATTAACTTATTGTTCTGAGTCAGAAGCCTATAATAGACTGTTTTCTTAAAACCTCTATAAAATCCAGTTCAAAACATTCATACAGTAAATGTAGAGGTTTATTATCATAATTTTCTTCTCCAAACTAGTGAAACTGTCACATTTTTTTAAGATGAGTTATGGCTTCATACGGTTTGGAATTGTTTGACATTTTTGCAGTTTCATTAATTGCTTCATGTTTCTTAATATACTACAAAAGCTACAAAAGCTGTCACTGGCACAGTAACCTTTTAAAATGTACACCTTTGTACCTTATTTATGCCTAAAGGGAGCATGTTTGTACCGCTCCAGTGACAGCTTTTGCACCTTTTTTTTCTGAGAGCATAGGAATTTAATAATAAAAATACCCCCCAGAGAAATATTCACTGCGGCACTGAGTGTGACAACTAGCCCCGGTCTCCTGAATACATCAATATAATTGCATTTGGTCAACCAGGTTAAAAAAACAGGTGCATGTAGTCTAGATGAACATGGTTTGTTGGAATTACACATTGATTAATCAGTGGAATCCTGTGTGTAATTTAGTCCAAGTTTTATTTCTGGTTATTTGTTAGTCTGTAACTTGAAAGGTCACTGAGTGACGGATTGAATGCAGCAGCAACAACAACCAACAAAACATTTGCTTTTACCTCCATCTGTACAGATTTACTTATTCAGTGGCTGTAGACAGTAAGCAGCATAATGACAAGGAACACTGATTCACACCCTGAAACTTCACTGCAAATAGACATCTATGAAAAAGATTTTTTTTTAAAGCCAAAGAAATGAATGTCATTACATTTGAAGGGTCAGTGGTAAATACATCGAATGAGAATAACTGCAGACCCCCAACTTCAAGTACATATTCGTGCTTACTATAATAATATATCAATTGTCAGCATATCCACAAATGCTTTTAATTGTGATGACAAGTCAGCAATACTAATGATGTTTTGTTTTGCTTTTTATTTTGGTGGTTGCACAGTATAATAAGGTAGAACATCTTTGTTATGCTTTTTTGTATCAATATATAAGTCTATTTTTTTATTTTGTTTTTGCAGCTACATAAATACACACACATTATTATATGTGGAACATTTCGATTCCATCTATTACAAAACTCCTGATGCCTTCAAAGACTGTAGAAAAATTGGTAGTGACATGATAGGCCTTGAAATCTTAAGTAGATGTTTTACGAACAGCATAACAGTAAACCCATTTTTGTCACAGTCAGTCTGTCTCCATTTTCTTATATACAGTGGGTATAGAAAAGAATCACCCCCTTTAAAATAATCATATTTTGTTGCTTTGCAGCCTGAAATGAAGACGGAGACTCAGTGCAACTTATAACATCCAAGTGAAAGATATAAAGTGAGTAGCTACACCGGATTTAGTTTACAAGTCATTTTTAGGAGGGGGTGATCCTTTTTCCAACTCAGTGATTCTATTTTTTTTTTATTTTTCTGACATGTTGGTGTTTTATCTTTCACTTGGATGTTATAAGCAGTGGTGGACAGTAGTACTTCATGTTCTGTCTTGTAATGTGTGTATATATTGTGCCATGTTTTTAAAAACTGAAGACTGCTGGCATTGAATTTCTTCTTATGACTCAATATTTCATACTTTCTCACTTTCAGTGGCAACCACAGAGTACAGCAATGTAAATTGCATGCTATATTACAGTGTCATCTTACCTATACAACATTACAACAGGCTCGGTTTTGCATGGTTAATCTGACAAATGATTGCACTTGTTTTTCCCACGGCTTTGATCGATGGCTCCTGCGTGTCTCTGGAGATTGTGATATTAAATCACATTGTCTGTTGAGGATTATATTGTTCCATAGTTCTAAGGCCTCCTTAATTCTCCAACAATATCTACATATATTATCAACAATTGTCTCATTAGGCATTCTGTTTTGCATCGTGTCAATGCACAATGGGGAAGTCGTGGCCTAATGGTTAGAGAGTCGGACTTGTAACCCAAAGGTTGTGGGTTCGAGTCTCGTACCGGCAGGGATTGTAGGTGGGGGGAGTGAATGTACAGCGCTCTCTCCCACCTTCAATACCACAACTGAGGTGCCCTTGAGCAAGGCACCGAACCCCCAACTGCTCCCCGGGCGCCGCAGCAAAAAATGGCTGCCCACTGCTCCGGGTGTGTGTTCACGGTGTGTGTGTTCACTGCTGTGTGTGTGCACTTTGGATGGGATAAATGCAGAGCACTAATTCCTAGTATGGGTCACCATACTTGGCCACATGTCACTTCACTTCTTGATTAATCGTCCAGCATTCTGCAAGTTTGAGAGAGTTTGCGTGATATCATCACAAAAATCATATTCTCCAGTCCATCTAGATCAAGGCAGGGTTGAGACATTCTTCTCAGACCTTTCAAATTCTTGTGAAATGATAATCCATCTCTCGTTTTTTGGGTTTGAAACTACCTGGACATTCCAAAGACGTTCCTCAGGCTGTAGCAGCAGATGATTTCCTTCAGCGTTTTCCGCATCTCCTGACTCCTGAAAGCGTAAATGAGAGGGTCGATGACTGAGTTGCACATAATGAGGATGAGGTACATGTTGAAGTGCGACATGAAGCACATGCAATAGAGGTTTCTGGGACAGGAGATCATAAGGATGAGGTGGAGAAAGAACGGAGCCCAGCAGACGATGAAGATTCCCAGAAGGATGGTCAGGGTGACGGCTGCCTTCATGCTGGCTCTCTGGTGGATGGAGTTGTAGCCCGGCAGAGCAGCGATGCGTTTGACGTGAGAACGTGCCAGCATGAACATGTGGCTGTAGAGGGAGGCCATGAGCGCGAGCATGATGAAGAACATGGAGACCAAGCACACAATGACAGACGTGTTGTCAGAATAGATTATGAAGACGATTCCACAGCCGGTGCAGAAGGTCCAAATTCCACCGATGATGAGCACGGCCCGGCGCACCGTCATGATGTTGTGATATCGTAAAGCGTAAAAAATCGTTACGTAGCGATCAACGGCTATAGCTAGAAGACTACACATGGATGCCACCACAGAGATGCAGATCATAGAGTCAAAAACGTTGTCCATCTGTCTGATGAAATGGTCCTCCACCACCAGCTGGCGGTTGGTGAGTAAGTAGATGACGATGGTCTCCCAAGCGTTGGAGACGCTCACCAGCATGTCAGCCACGGCCAGGCTGCAGACGAAGAAGTACATGGGAGAGTGTAGGTTTTTGTTTTTCACAATGGCGCAGATGACCAGGATGTTCTCCAGCAGACTGATGATGCCAAGGATGAGGAACACCTCGATGGCGATGTTGAGCTGCTCGCATGCTTTAGGCTTGGCGTGGGATGGGGTCTCGGTGGCGTTGAGGAGGTCCGAGACGGGGCTGGAGTTGACATGGATGGCCCAATGGGACAGGGTGGCCTCTGAAGTGTTCATCGTGGATGAAGGATTCAGTGGGAGTGTTGTAGACTTTTCTTGGAGTCACTGGGTTGGTAGACAGGGCATCTTTAACCTGCACAAAATGAAACAGATAATGTTTAAACTAGGAAGGGTATCTTTAAAATTAAGGCTTTTTATTGACATTGATGGTTCCATGAAGAACCTTTAACACCCATGGAACATTTCTATTGAAACGTTCTTCAAAGTGGAGAAAGATTCTTCAGATGATTCAAATGTTCTTCACACTAAGAAAAAATAGGTTATTTTGAGAACTGGAAAGATGGAATCACCAATTCAGGCTCATTGAAAATATGTGCTTGTGGCAACTTTCCTACGTCACCGATATTATGTGCTTTATTGCGCATTTCGCAGCAGTTTCAGAGTGAAATGTCCAGTGAGTGGTGCCAAAACGTGCATTCAATATGTGATCATGGCCACGTTTTTATTACGTTGGTACAGGCACGTATTGCTGCATTTTTATTGTATTGGTTTAGGCATGTGTTGTTGTGTTTTTATTATGTTATTCAGGTACATATTGTGGCAGTCCAGAATTCAACTGACCAGTGACGCTAAAAGGTTAATGCTCTATCGTGTTGGAAAATAACATACCTCCTAACCCAACCCTAAACTTACCCGATTAACGAATGCAAAAGTGATATAAAAACACATTCGCTGAATCGGGTGAGCTACTGAGCAAACTTACTGTGTTAGAAAACCTATAAAGATGAACTTGGATATATGACACTAACATTCGAAAGTATCAATTTTAAATCTCGCAGCATGTTCAAATTGTTTTGAGGTCATAAAATAATTGTGCAAGGAATTCTGTGAAAAATGAGGCTTTATTATTTAAAACTCTGGCCCTGTAGTGTGCATAGGATCACTGATGACCGTTTGGGCTGTATGTCTTAAAGACCCTTTTAGCCTTTTGACATTTGCATATAAATTACACGGCTGGCCCCACAGCCTACATTTATATGGGTGCTAAATATCCAAAGGTTTTCCCCAACCATCCAGAAGATACTAAACAGAACAACACTCTGGTTTCCCCATCTGACTTCAAACACATTCCAACGAGAAGACGTTCACACTCAATGCCTGGGTGGCCAGTGAACCACCTCCACACTTACAATACACATAACACACACACATAAAGACAATTTCTTTATTTACGACATAATTAAGCTGTTATAAAATGTATATGGTATATGCATGTGTTGTATGTATGTTCCCCTAGTACAGTACATGAGCCCAGTTACAACTCTTTATTGGTATTAGTTAAACTCTAAATGTTTATATCCAGGTGTAGGAATGTATCTCTGAACGTATATCTTCTAGACATTTCTTTCTTGTTATCGAAACAATCTGCTCTTTATTGCCTAAACAATGGTGTACACTATGTGATGATGAAATGCATCATACTGTTTGTACCATACTTTGGGTAAATCTGTACCAATTCTCCAGACCAGCAAAAAACATGCAAATGGGCCGTAAATGGAGACAAAGAGAATTTCTCCCGCTCAGAATTCACGCCTTGTATTGGCCAGGGCACCAAAGATGGAAGAGGGTTAAAAGTCCCTAACCCAAACCAATCATTGCTCAAACCTTTTGAGACAGACCCTCTACAAGACTCACTCCTCTTGAGTCTGACTTTCTGGCAGTTTTCTCTTCAAGTAATTTTGTCGATTCTCTGTTCTTCAGAGGAACCCGATGAAAGCCTCCAGCTCACTCCTAACGAACTCAACAAGAATCTTCGTTGTCTATCCATCCGAATTCTTGTTCAGCAAAGCCAGTGCAAGTAACCGTTTCCAATTATTTAGATGCGTGCCTAAGTTTGGGCCCCCCTTTTTTAAGGTGATTTTGATTCTCTGATGATTCTCATTAGGTTGTGGTTAAGTGATGTTAAATACTGCCATTCTTTTGTCTCTCTCTCTCTCTCTCTCTCTTTCCTTACTTCCCTTCTTTCTATATGTACATGTTTGCTTAGTTTAGTTGCATGTTAGCTGCAGGGGTGTGAAGTAACGAATTACAAATACTCACGTTACAGTAATTAAGTAGTTTTTATCAGTAATTGTACTTTTTAAGTAGTTTAAAAATTGTGTACTTTTACTTTTACTTGAGTACATTTTAAATGATGTATCGGTACTTTTACTCCGCTATTTTCCTCTGTTTGTGGTCGCTACATGCTTATTTTAATTTTATTTTTATCCATCAACGTGATTGGATAGAGAGATAGTAATTGGTCTCGTGACTTTCATCAAATCAAATTGTGCATAGAAAACTTTAACCGCCAACTGTTTATCATGGCTGCTGGAAGTGCATTATTCAAGCATCAATTCAGTCGCATCTTCCTCTAACTTAACATGTTAAGGTAAATTTAGGATTTCTGCTTATTAAATTATTCAGTAAGTTACTGTAAAATTTACAGCAACCTATTTACACTGTAGCATGACAGCTGAGATACATTTAAAGTGGGGGACGTCTTGTCCCAGGTGGGTTATTTTAACCCTGTCATGGGTAAGGAGTTATTATCATGTGGTATATCAACTACATTGTCTAATATTTCCATTTCCCCATTTAATATATTGATGCCTCATCACCCTGTACATGCTAACCTCATCTCTAAATACGTTACATGTTAGCATTAATGCACACCAGTCTTAAGGAGTGCACCTTCCTCTATCCCACCATACTAAAGGGTCTGGGGTTTTTTGCAAATCCTCTAAATATAATTCAAAGTAGCACTGAAGCTTACCTTACAGTATACCGCACTAAAGAGCATAAAGATCACAAAGAATTCAGGATGAAAACCAAACTGCACGCATGTGTCTGGTAATAGAAGCTCCACTGTATGACATTTTGAAAAATAAATAAATAAATAAAGGTGTTATTTTTTAGCTTTCCTGGATGTCGCCCACAGCCGGAGGACAAACCTTTGATCACAGACAGACGCAGTCACGCAGCCAATACCTAATTACACTTATGAATTCTTCTTTGGCACTAATTCATCATCTCTCTTTCTCTCTAATCTTTGAGATAGCACTTTAAAAGGTACAAAAATACATGATCACGCCCCAAGGTCTTCTAGCTACTGCACGACATGAAATCTAAGCAGTACGCACATCCTCAAAAGCATATGATCATCTGTTTTGTGACAGAAGGCCAGTACGGCTTTGAAACAAGCCCATTGTTCATAAAAAAAACAGCCCTGCAAGTATTTTACCAGTGAATTACTTTTCCTGTGAAAGAGGAGATTTATTGTGGCTACTGGTGAGCATCGCTCAGGTCTCTGGATAAAGGATCCTCTATCTGAATGTGTGCGTCTGAAGGCTTTTGCTCAATAGTGTGCATCTACTGTCTGCTGATGACTCTACAGTAAATGAGTCACTGCCCGACAGAACATAGAAACAAGAAAGTAAGAAGTACACCGATTCACAGCCAAATCAAAGGACTGTATTGACAGCTGATGGCAGGAGAGCAGTATATAATATGTGC